CTGAAGTGCAAGTGGTCGAGCAAAGAGCAGATAGCACAGCGGAACCAAGAAACCATTCRCATGTGGACATAGTGCAGAAAACCATATTGCATATCACGCTGAAGTCCAAGTGCCCATGCAAAGATCAGATGGCACACTGGAACCAAGGAACCATCCGCATWGGCTCGACCCTCGTGCGGCGAGGCGACGCCTGATGGGGCGACCATTGGGTGTCGCCGCGACACCCGACGATGTCAAGCAAGAAACCCTCCGTACGAGAACGATATCACATTGGRAACCCGTGCACGGGCAAAGAGCAAGTAACACATCGGTTCCAATTGCAAATCACGCTGAAGTCCAAGTGGCCAAGCAAAGAGCAGATAGCACAGTGGAACCAGGAAACAGCCCACATGCGGACGAAGTGCAGAAATCCGAGCTGCATATCATKCTGAAGTCCAAGTGCCAATGGAGAAAGCAGATGGCACTGTCAAACCAAGGAACCATCCGGATCAGCCCCGACCCTCGCGCGGCGAGGCGACGCCCGACCATCGGGTGTCGCCGCGACACCCGATGGTGTCAAACAAGAAACCATCCGTATGAGAACGGTGCAATATCGGAACCCGGTGCTCGGGCAAAGAGCAGATAGTGCATTGTTTCCAATTGCTAATCGCGCTAAAGTCCAAGTGGTCAAGCAAAGAGAAGATAGCACAGCGGAACCAAGAAACCATTCACATGTGGGCTGAGCAGAAATCCAAATTGCAAATCACGCTGAAGTCCAAGTGCCCATGCAAAGAGAAGATGGCGTTGTGGAACCAAGGAACCATCTGCATGGACCCGACCCTCGCGCGCCGAGGTGACGCTTGACCATCTGCCGGAGCGAGTGGGTTGACCATCAGCTGTCGCCGTGGCGGCCGATAATGTAGACGAGGCGACCATGGGGTGTCGCCGCGACACCGACGGTGGCAAACAAGAAACCATATGTATGAGAACAGGAGCACATCGGGACCCAGAGCTCGGGCAAAGAGTAGACAACGCATTGGTCCCAATTGCAAATCACGCTGAAGTCCAAGTGGTCAAGCAAAGAGCAGATAGCAAAGCGGAACCAAGAAACTATTCGCATGTGGACGAAGTGCAGAAATCCGGAACCAAGAAACAATTCACGTGTGGACGAAGTGCAGAAATCCATATTGCATATCATAGTGAAGTCCAAGTGCCCATGCAAAAAGCGGATAGCACAGTAGGACCAAGAAACTATTCACATGTGGTGGGCTGGGCTGAAATCCAAATTGCAAATCAAGCTGAAATCAAAGTGCCCATGCAAAGAGCAGATGGAGCTGTGGAACCAATGAACCATTCGCATTGRCCCGACCCTCGYGCGCCGAGGTGACGMYCGACCATCCGCCGGTGCGAGTGGGGYGACCATCAGCTGTSGCCACGGCGCCCGATGCTGTAGACGGGGCGACCATCGGGTGTCGCCGCGACACCCGATGGTGGCAAACAAGAAACCATATGTATGAGAACGGGAGCACATCGGGACCCAGTGCTYGGACAAAGAGTAGACAGCGCATTGGTCCCAATTGCAAATCACGCTGAAGTCCAAGTGGTCAAGCAAAGAGCAGATAGCAAAGCGGAACCAAGAAACTAGTCGCATGTGGACGAAGTGGAGAAATCCGGAACCAAGAAACCATTCACGTGTAGACGAMGTGCAGAAATCCATATTGCATATCACGCTGAAGTCCAAGTGCCCATGCAAAGAGCAGWWATCACAGTGAAACCAAGAAACCATCCAYATGCGAACGAAGTGCAGAAATGCAAATTGCAGTTGACGCTGAAATCCAAGCAGTCTAGGAAAGAGCAGATAGCACACTGAAACGAAGATACCATCCACATTGGCCCGACCTTCCACGGCGAGGTGACGCCCTACGTTCGGGCCGCCCCTACCATCGAGCACCGCGCGACACCCGACGGTGTCGAGCCAGATAGCACATTGGTTCCATTTGCAAACCACACTGGAGCCCAACTCGTCAACCAAAGAGGAGATAGCACATTGGTTCCAATTGCAAACCACGCCGAAGTCCAAGAGGTCAAGCAAAGAGCAGATAGCACAGTGGAACCAGGAAACCATCCACATGTATACGAAGCGCAAAAATCCAAACTGCATATCACGTTGAAGTCCAAGCGCCCATGCAAAGATTAGACGGCACAGTGGAACCAAGGAACCATCCGCATTGGCCCGACCCCCGTGCGGCGAGGCGACGCCCGACCATCGGGTGTCGTGGTGGCGCTCGATGGCCCTGCGGACTGTGCACGTGGGGCGACCATTGGTTGTCGCCGCGACGCCCGATGGTGTAGACGGGGCGACCATCAAGTGTCGCCACGACACCCGACGGTGACAAGCAAGAAAACATCTGCACGAGAACGGTAGCACATCGGGACCCAGTGCTCGGGCAAAGAGTAGATAGCGCATCGGTCCCAATT